GGAATTCGTGGCCAGTACCCAGTCCACCTCAAAACCTCGCCCCAGTACTTCTCGTCAAGACAGTCACCGGTCAGAACCGGCTAGGGCTCAGCTGGAGGTGGACACCGGTGCGACCTCTGATAGTGCGGCTTCTGGATCGGATTTGAACTTGGAGGACGGTTTCGACTTCGCTCTGGTCCAGCCTTTCGTTAAAGCCGTCAGACAGGCGTTACAATGGGAGGATGATGTTAGAGAGCTCGACAACAAACGCAGATTCTTCAAGCATGTCAGGAAGGAGGCGCCCAGCTTTCCTTTTCTGGTAGAACTCAAAGAGATGATTACTGATGAGTGGAGTCAGACTGACAGGAAGACTGCCTTTTGGAACCACTTTTCAAAGCTATACCCTTTCAGGAAGGATGACTTCAAGGAGCTGGAGGTGGCTCCCGTCGTCGACGCGGCGGTCATGCATCTAGCACGGCATGTGACGTTACCATTGGATGACGCAGTCTCCTTTCGGGATGTCCTAGACCGCCGTATTGATTTTGACCTTAAAAAGGTCTTTCTAACGGCTGGCAGTGGCTTTAAACCGGCCTTTGCCCTAGCCACTGCCTCTAAGGCCCTTGAGGTGTGGACAGACGCTGTGGAAGCTGCAGTTTCCTCCGATCTTGGTAAGACCGAGATATTGCATCCCCTCAGGAACATCAAGTTGGCATCCACTTTCATTTCCGAAGCTTCCATTGATGTGGTGCGTTCCTTGGCGAGGGTTATGCTTCTGTCGGTTACCGGTCGCAGAGCCCTGTGGTTGAGGCCATGGGTTGCTGATCCTACCTCCAAGCAGGGGTGGTGTCGGATTCCCTTCAATGGGCAATCACTGTTTGGTGATAAGCTGGATTCGGCTATTTCCAAGTCCACAAGGGGAAAGTCTGAGTTTCTCCCTCAGGACAGATGTCTTTTATGGCAGAAGAATGCTCCTTTTCGTGGAAATACCCATAATTCCTATAGAGATGCAAAATTCTATAAGTCTAGCAAACAGTTCAGGAGGCCTTGGAAAGCCTCTTCATCATTCTCCAAGCCGAAAAAGGGACCCTCTTCTTCTGCTTAAGACCAACAGCAGTCCTTTTGAAGTTTCGCCCGCCCAGGTCTGTCTAGTGGGGGCCAGGTTGGCCACCTTCGGATGGGTGTGGGCGGCCCAAATAGAAGATCGATGGGTGGTGAACACAATTTTAAGTGGACATGCATGGACCTTCCTTCGACGCCCTCGGCCTTCCTTCATTCCTACCCGGCTGCCAGAATGCTCCATCAAGCGTGCAGTGCTGTTGCAGTATGTAGAATCCCTCCTTTTCCAAAGGGTGGGGGTGGCAGTTCCATGCCGGGAATGCTTTCTCGGAGTGTATTCCCCCTTGTTTCTAGTTCGGTTGAGGCCCGTAGTGGACCTCAACCGCTTCATTGCTAAAGTTAATTTCAAAATGGAATCCTTACAGACGATACTGAAAGTTATCCAGCCTGGAGATTGGCTTCTCTCTATCGACTTGAAGGACGCCTATTTTCCCATGCCAGTTCATTCACGTCTTCAACCATTCCTGCGCTTTGCGCTAGGATGACTTCATTTCCAGTTCGTATGCCTACCATTTGGGCTCACCACCTCGCCCAGAGTTTTTACGAAAGTCCTGCTCTCACTGGTGGCGTTGCTCAGAGTAAATGGAGTCAGGATTCACCATTACCTCGACGACATCTTGCTGCTCTGTCACGATCGAGACCTCTTACTGGCTCATCGTTCCCTGGTTCTTTCCACCCTCCAAGAGTTTAGCTGGATTGTCAACAAGAGTCATTTGTAACCTTCTCAGGACCTGGTGTACCTAGGGGCACGAATAGACATGATCGGTGCATGGGTGTCCCTCCCTCGGGAGAAGCTGTTGGACATCATTCAAAGGCTGTCTGTGGCCTCAGTAGCTGTGTCTCTGTCTGCGGCTAAGTGCCTCAGTATTGTCGGCACAATGGTCTCCACGATCCCAATGGTGCAATGGGCACAGTGGAGGTCCCAGACATTCCAGTCCACATTCCTGGCGCAGTGGCGCTCGGGTCTCATGCACCAGAGGATCCATGTCAATCTCTCCATAAGGTACAGTCTTCAGTGGTGGCTGGACCACTCCAATCTTCTCCGTTGTCACTCGCTTTTTCCCATTCGGTGGACCGTGGTGACTTCAGATGCCAGCGAAGTTGGATGGGGGCGACCTGCCTGGGTCACTCGGCTCAGGGTCGATGGCACTCTTCCATGAAGGGTGTAATCTCCAATGTGCTGGAACTGAGGGCAGCCTTCCAGGCCGTTAGCTTTTCAGGATCTGATCCGGAAACGCTCAGTACTACTGCGAATGGACAATGTCACGGCTGTGGCTTACGTGAAGAGACAAGGGGGGACTACCTGTCTTGGACCCCTCTCGACAACAATGAGTGGTCTCTCTCCCAGTCGGCCTTTCCGCCGGTTCCGCTGATCCTCAGTTTTCTGAAGAAGCTCTCCCGGGAACCGGTGATGGTTTTGGCAGTCCTGCACTGCTGGCCACGGCGCCCCTGGTATCCTCTCCTATGCTGACTATCGATGGTGGATCCCTTACCAATTCGAGGGATTTGTTGTTCCAGGGCCCGTTGTTTCATCCAGCCCCAAGAAACTCTGTCTGACGGCTTGGATCTTGAGAGGAGGCAATTGACCGAGCTGGGGTGTTCAGCGGCTGTTGTTAGTACCATGTTGAAGGCCAGAAAATCTACAACGAACAGAACCTATAACAGGATTTGGGTGAAAATCGTGGACTTTGCAACCCTTCACTATTTTTCTCCGGCATTTCCTCAGGTATGCCATGTGCTGGATTTTCTTCAAGGAGGTCTCGATCTGCACCTGAGCCTTTGTACTCTAAAGAGCCATGTTTCCGCTTTTTCCGCCTTCACTGGAGTGTGATGGGCGCTCAATCCTCTGATCGTGAAATTTTTCAGGGCGGTTATACGGGTCAGGCCACCCAGACAGCGGCTTTTCCCCAAGTGGGACTTGCCTTTGGTACTTGACTTCCTAGCTTCCGCAGAGTTCGAGGCTGATCTGTCCCTGTGGCATCTCACTTTGAAGACGGCCTTTTTAGTGGCCGTTTCGTCGGCCAGAAGAGTGTCCGAGATCGCTGCCTTGTGGTACAAGGAGCCATTCACCACGTTCTTTGCAGACAGAGTGGTGTTGATACCGATGCTTGGTTTAATTCTGAAGGTCGCCACACGCTTCCATATGCATCAGGAAATTGTCCTTCCATTATGTGACCCCAATGACTCAGGTCCACTGGCTCGTTTGGACGTAGGTGACTCCTTACGGTCCTACATTACAGCTACTGCTCCATTTCGATCCGCGGATAACCTATTTGTGATTCTGGCAGGGCCTCGGAAAGGACTGAAGGCTTCTGTGCATACTATCTCTTCATGGATGGTGAAGGTTATCGCCTTGGCATATGGTGCAAAAGGGCTGGCAGTTCCCGGGCATGCTACTGCACATTCTACTAGGAGTATTTCGACTTACTGGGCAGCCATGAGTGGCATCTCTCTAGAGGTGATTTGCAAGGCGGCTACATGGTCTTCTATCCATACCTTTATGCGTCACTACTGTGTTGAGCCTGCGGCTTTGACTTCGGTTGCGTTTCGCCGTACGGTTGTGGCTAATGCATCTTTGTCTAATTAAAATTACTTGCATTCCCACCCTTGTATTTTGCGAGTTATTTCCCATTGTGTGCTCACATGGAGCTGTCAGGAAAACAGGAAAATTGTATTATCATACTTACCGCAATTTTCCTTTCCCGACAGCTCCATGGCAGCACAAAATTGCAAAACAATACCGGCGCCTTCAAATCCAAAAAGAGCCCAGCAGTAAAAATACAGCAAACATGGTGGAGGCAGCTCCCACAGATTAGTTGGAACACCAGTCTATGAGAAAAATAACAAAAGAGAGCGCTCTCTTTTGTTCTTTTCCATGGCAGCACAGTCCCGCCCAGTCGGAGTTGCCAGTTACGTAATGCTAGTGGCTGGGTGGAGGCTCACATTTATGAGTTAAACATCCTATCAGGTTAAGGGGGCGGAGCCTACACCCATTGTGTGTGCTGCCATGGAGCTGTCGGGAAAGGAAAATTGCGGTAAGTATGATAATACAATTTTCCTGTTATATCGCCGGCTTCTGCTGCTTTAGCCTATCTGCTTTAAGATTCGATGTGTTGTGCATTTAGACACGGTCTTCTGCATACCTCAGATGTAATAAGTGGTTATTTGAATTATTGTTGCCTTTCTATCAGTCTGAACTGGCCTGGCCATTCTCATCTGATGTCTGACACCAACAAGGCATTTTTTTGACCAGAGAATTGCCGCTCACTAGATAAACACAGACCAGCCTGTCTGCCACCAGCAACCATGCCACATTGTTCTAACCAAGTCTACGTGCCTAAATGCATTGAGCTGCGGCCATGTGATTGGCTGGTTAGATACTTGCATTAATGAGCAGTTGAACAGGTGTACCTAATAAAGTGACCAGTGAGTGAATATTTACATACTGAGAACCCTTACTTTGGGGAGCTTGAGGTATTCAAGACCCAAAGTGAAATCAATGCTTGCTATGTTCATTTTACCACTTTTGCAAGCTTTAGGACATCATGGAAGTGGTATGCTTTCTTCTAAATCAGTTCAAAGAGAAACTGGGATATACAATGTACAATATTCCAAGAAATAATCTTTTAATTGGCTATTGTTAAATCGGTTAAATAAACTCTAAAACCCGCTTTTTATAGGTTATTGCACTTTACATATGCCATTTGCCTTATTCATTAGGACAGTTGTTCGTGTATGCATGCATACATATGTTTCATATTAGTAATATTAGTTTTTAAAAACATATAACCATGCTTTCTTTTCATACATTATGGTAATATATAAACTTATTTTATTCAATCAGATTTGTTGTAGTTACCGCATAATGACAAGACTGGGTGTACAGGCAAAGAAAAAATACATACCGGTCTGTAGCCATCTCTGGTTTCATCAATTTGTTTCTCTGTCTTAGTTGTTATTTCTTGTTTCTCCTGGATCTCCTGGGACAACTTCTTGCTTGAGGAAAGAATGTCAATAGCGCGCTCGTCCTCCAAGATGTTTCCTTGTGACAGAGATAGCACTTCCAAAATCTGATCTTCTATCTCTTTCAACTGTTTTCTGTTATAAAAAAATGTTATTTATTTTAAGAAACACAATAATAGCACATGGAGGATTCCAGCACAGTCTAGACCGCTATTTCTATATATTTGCAGTATGACATTTTCTCCCAAGTAGGCCCTTGCAGTAATTTAATTGTCATAGATTCCTAAGCATGTCAAATTCTGGCACTACTGCTTACAAATTTTGCCTCAAGTGAATTATTTTATAATAGGCTCTGGAAGGAAATCATCAGTGTTTGACTGACTTGATACTTATATACCTCAGGACTAGCAAGCAAAAATAAAACCAGTATAGACTTAAAATATGCAATCATTTTTTAAACATCCATTTTGTTGGGGCTAGCATATCATTTAACCTTCTATTTCAATTAAATCAAATTATACAATTACCACCTGCATTTTGCTATAAAGAAACAACAGAGAGTAGTAGCAAAATACATTATATGGGATGTCTTGCGTGTCCAAATTCCTAAAATATGTAGGCATTAATATTATTTCTATTGAGTGCAACTGTTTTCACAGCATGGTATGCAATAAGTGCTAGGAAAGCCTTTCATTTGTTTTCATGTCTAAGATTTCAAATGAGACAGTGGTTGAGGAACAAAAAAAAAGGTTTCACACAAAGATGGCCATTGCTTGAAAGTAGTGTCAAAGATCTAGTAATGCTTCAATTACAGCTACACAAATTGTCAGCTTGAGCAATGTTTAAATAAATGGATGCCACATGCATTTTTAGGCACTGTGGAAAATATCTGTGACCACCCTGGTCTACTTTTATGTGATGTGTAAGCTCCTAGGTCATCCCTCCATAATCACTATGTAATGTGATATGGAGATGTTTAAATCTACTGGATTTCATGTATAGCCAACATATGCCTCTTCTGAACCATAATAAACTGTTGCATAGTATGACGTGGATGAATATAGCATTTTAAAAAGTTCATTCTTGAATTTCAGAAACAGGGAGTACCCTTCTGTTTAAAAATGCTTATTCTGTATTTGTAATCCAGGCCAATTATATTAATCTTCTTGGATCCGATTTCAGCTTTTAGTATATAATTAGGTATGCATAACAGCCAGCAGTAGTAGCATATGATCCAATCTAATACCTTGTTGCTAATGGGCTGGCTTTTAGTTACATTGTCTTGTGGTTTTTTTAAACTGAAGTGTTTCCAACCTATTGCTATAGTTCATGGATCTCCATCATCATCAGCAAGGGCCAGATAAAAAAAAGTTCCTGGAATAATGCTCTGCTTCTGTGTCCAGTTGTGCTCCTGCATTGTCACCCTGTCACATGCTCTCCAACTAGACACTAGAATCGACCATTCTGATGCACATTGCAGAGACATATGCCACTGTTTGTAACATCAGAAAACTCAGAAATTATGTGCATTTGCTTTCAGGAGTGCATGCATTTAGACAGAAAGTGTCTGTAAAGAAGCTGTAGAAGATCAGCAGTGCAGATATGCAATAAAGTATAAAGAAGGTGAAAACAGAATTTATTTTAAAAAATGGCATTTGCTTATGGTACACAGTGCCTTGGCAAACTAAATGAAATGTAAAGACCGACTCCAGACAGCATCTTTTATGTTTTGACGAGAGTAGGGAAAGATAAAAATATCTACCAGTTATATTACTGTCTGCATCTTCACTGTGAAAAGAAATAGCTCATAATCATATTTTTACATACATTTCCATAAGGAATGACCATAAACATGACCAGGTTTACTGTTAGGCACAGTAGTTTGCACCTATCAGTAATTTATTTAGCTGATTTAAACGGAAAGATCAATTGGGCTTAATAAAACTGAAGATTTATGTGTGAATGGGAAGAAAAAAGAGAGAGTCCGAATAGGAACGTAAGGCCGCTTTCAGACGGAAGTTCCAATCAGAACTGCCATCAGTTTTTCAGGCGGATAGTGATCAGGAGTTACCCAATGTAACTTTGGATGTAAATAGATATGTTTTTCTCTTACATGCAATTACCTCCAAGTCAGTTCAGTTCTGAAAAAAAATGGAGAGGGTTTCTGTCTCTTTTCCTTTTTGTGGACCTAAACATGACTGATCGGAGGTAATCGAATGTAAACAGACATAAGTGCCATCCATCTGCCCATAGACCTAGCATGGACCCATTCAGTTCAGTTCATTTCCTCCATCACAAGACATTGATTCTATACTGCTCAGATGCAAAGGTCCCCTGATGATTGTAGTGGATGGGTGCCCAGGTAAAAGGGTCAAATGTTGAAAGAAAGTATGTAAGTATGTGTGGGAAAAGTCAACATGAAGAGGTTAAGTTAGGAACACCAAACACTGTCAAAATATTACAGGGAATTGTCTGAAGGGAATGAGTGGTCAGAGACTCATTGCAAGGTTATAGGATGCATGTGCACAGTGCTAAAAGTATGGAGCCTCCAGAGAAGTGAATAACCAGGTAGCAATGTACATGCACCTGCACTTGACCCTAGACAATAACAGTAACAGATAACAGCCCATTCACCATATTATTCTAATATAGTTTAAATGCACGTGCAAGGAAAGGGTAAAAACAAGGTTTAGAAAAACATTGTTAAATGTGATAATCAAGAGCCATAGACCAATGTTTGCGATGGGAGATTGTTTTTTTCCTTCTGATGTATGTTTCATCAGATTAGAGAATCTACTATCTAGGCAAAATTGCCTTGAGAAAAAAAAAAGAAAAAAACTATTACCTCATGTGAGCAAACAAATTTGCAATGCCCTGCTGTGTACCTGCTCGCTTAATTTTCCAGCTTAGGAAATCACACACACCAATCGAATATGATAGTGCAGCACCAACTACTTCCAGGGTTATGCTGATTAATGGACTGAATTATTTTGCAGGTGTCTAAACTGAGATTTCTTACAGATTAGATGAGAATATAACGTCTAATGAAATAATTTTTGTAGAACATTCTTTTTGCAGCTTCAATATTAGGCCAAGTAAACAATGTCTGTTTGTGAGATTGGCAATACATTTCTAGTCAAGCTGCATGTCTGGGTGCTCTGTTAAAATGTAAAATGCACAGTCAAGGTATTTATATGCAGTTATATTAAATCCTCATGAAACATTGCCATATACTGTGCCTCCCAGCTTGGCACAAATGTCTTATCCACCCCTATTTAAATTAGTTTTTTGTATGATAAATAGTGTAGGGAATCAGCTGGGGACAGGGCTAATAGGGGGTTAATTTGGAAGGGCAAATACTTCCCGTTCCTACCTATTAAAGACAGATGAGCTCACAGAGAGGCGATACTTGGAATGGAGTAAGAGAGGAGTGTAGCTCTCTCTAGCTTCTAGGAAGCATGAAGGCCAAGCTGACAGATTATCTTATTAATTAAATAAAGGAATGGATTAATTCATTAAACTACCATTTGCCATCTGAACACATATTCCTTGGAGTGAATTCCCTGAATATACCACCTGACATTTACCTTTCAGCTCCAGGGCAACATGACAAGGCTCCCTAATGGTCCACCTGGCACCCAGTCATCACTGACCCCCTTCTCCACACAATAGCAATCAATGGTGGGCATGCTCAGTGGCCTTACTTGGAGTGACCACAATTATGTTGTGGCTTATACCTTCTTAGGTCATCACACCATCCCCAACTTCCCTTACATTTAAGCTCTCACTGCCTTGGTTATCTGACAATAGTGCAGCTGAAGTAATTAGACACACTCACGTCTAGAGCAATAGAAACCTTTACTGGAACACTTACAATAGAACATCATAGCAGATCATGATCACATACATACTCTACTATTTAGCAGTATTTGCTAGGGAGCTAGGTACTTTCCTCTAGCTTTTATCTGATAGAAGTCTCATACATGCCCCAGGGGGGGAAACAATCCCTTGCTCTATATTCTCCCAGATGGGCAACATCACCACAAGCTCAAATGCTTGGCCTGGTTTGTTCCCTTCCCCAGCAGAAGATATTTTTTATTTACTGACAGCCTTCTCTGACAGATTTCTGTAGCCCTGGAACAGAGGCCTTTTCTCCAGACTGTAGCAAAATGTCCTGTCAATGAGAGAACAGAATGTCTGGCTCTCTACTACAGTGAGAGAAAATTGTCAGGGTCGGACTTCTTAAAGACTCCTTACACACCTATGAGTGAGATGGTTTTGCTGGATAGGGTCTGGTAAAAGGTTTGAGCTTTGTGGCTTGTATGATATGTGTAATGTCTGACATATTTGATATATTGAGAAACAGAAAAGTCAATAGACATGTGCATTTGGATTCGGACGAACCTGCAGATCAACGAAAATCAGTTGATGCGGCAGTTCGTCCGAATGCGAAGTAATGAATTTATTGTATGCCCGAATATATGAAAACTATATCCGGGCATACATAAATTATGTATCTACAGAACGGGGGCGGTAGCCATATTGACCGCCACGGCAACTGCGCATGCCCACCACCATCTTGGAGGTGGAGCCTATGATTTCACATGATGGTGACATCAAACGCTGAACGAGCGTTGGCCACATCGACAGCAGGCTCGTTCTGCAGATGAGCGCCAACATTATGGAGTATATTTTGGTGTACACCAAGATGGCTGCACCCGAACATGTGGGCGCCACCATCTTGGTGTATACCAAGGTACACTCCAAAATGACGTCGCACGAGCAGAACGAGTCGGCGGGCAATATGGCCCCCGTTCGCACTGCAGTTTATTGTGCAGTTTCGGAGGCTCGTGCCGGTAGAAATGTAAGATATGATTTTTGTTTTACACCTTAGTTAAGCATTTTCTAAAGCAATTTTCAGATGTGCAATCCAGTAACAGTACAGAAACGGAACTATAAGAACCTGGTTGTTGCTCCTTCAAGATATAGCTGATACTTCCTTTCTTCCAAGTCAGGCTTTTCTTCTGCAGCAAGTATAGTTAACAGTTGATCCTCTAAACCTATTGGTGTGATCATGAAATTGATCAGAGTGACCTAAAATATGAAGAAGGGCTGATTTTAGTGCATTTGTATATTTCCCACATACAGCACTACAGATTGATATAGGAAAACTGAAGCCATTTAAAGTGGAACAAAAATAGAACTGTTGCTTATAGCTACCCACAAGAATTTCATGTCAAACGAAAGCGGGAATCTGATATTTATGGACAATGAGTTCTATGATTTTCATAAAATCACCTCATTGTGCCATATTATTTTTATCCTTGTCTATATTTTATATTGCCCCACAATTAGATTCTTGATTTGTCTTCTTAAGGTTATTGTTGCACTGTTTAGCGCTCTCTCTCTCATATATATATATATATATATACATACACACACATTGTTTGTATTGGTATGACACAAAAAGGGGAGAAAAAATAAACCAAATCCGACACATTCCATGCAAAACTCCAAAAATGGACTGGTCAAAATGATTGGCACCTTCTCCAAATTGCAAGACATTGCATTCCAGGTTTGTGATGCTCCTGTAATTTGTAATTAAAACTCACCGGTATCAATTAACAGGTGCCAGTTAAAATGGTGAAAAATTGACTCAACCTTTCTGTGCTGTGTCTCTGTGTGCCACACAGAGCATGGAGAAGGGAAAGAGCAGCATAGGAATTGTCTAAAGATTTGAGAGCAAAAATTGTGGAAAAGCGTAAAGAATCTCAAGGTTACAAGCCCATCTCCAGAGAACTTAATGTTTCTGTGTCCACTGCGTGCAACATTGTCAAGAAGTTTACAGCCCATGGCACTGTAGCTAATCCCCCTGGACGTGGACGAAAGAGAACAATTGATCAAAGATTGCAACGAAGGATTGTTTGAATGGTGGCTGTTTTTTTGGTAGTTTTTAAAAGCAATTATTCATACAAACAAATAAGAATGGGATTAAGTATGCTAAATTAATTGGAATAAATAAATGTTGGTGTTGCTGAAGGTGACAGTTCACCAAATATGAACATCCTTTGCCCCAATGTGGCGACATATAGATAAGATGTGGTGGTGCACATGACATTTTTGAGTGGAGGTTAATCCAATTTACATTTTAAAATCTAGAAGGCAATGAATGTGATACTTTCAGCAGTTTGTGTTCTCAGTACTATAATAAGTTTTATAGCTCTCTCTGACATTCCATATCATTTTGTTAAGATTACTATTCAGCCAGTTGTGTAATTTCAGTATTTATTTTCATAATATTGTGATTTTTCCTTTTATTTCACCAGCAGCTTTAAATGGCTTTCTGTACAAGACAAAATTCTGTAGTTTTTGGTAAATGATCATAATTCACTGTATTATCTGCTAAAATAAAGAACTAGCTGTGAAAAAGCAATACTTAGTGCAACAAGCTCTGAAATCTAATTAGAAAAAAACTCCAGTCATATCCTGTCTCTACAATTGCACAGCTGTATTATTTTGACATCTACATAAATATGAGAATAATACCATTAGAAATGGGAAAACAATTCTACAGTCCAATTATAACTTCACAGCACTTCATTCATTATCTCCAATGTATTTGCATTTCTACCAATTGTACTAATTCCTATAATTTCCTTGTTCAGTGGATATCAGTAGGAAAACATACTTTGACAGACACTTCAGGAAGGTAATGAGGATTTCGGAGGCGGGTGGTCATATAGAGTTTAAAATCCCTGCTGTAATGAATAACAGCCTCCCCAAGTCGGATGTATTCCACTCCATTCTGTTTAAACGTCTGTCTCAGCAGCACAGGCTCCAAAATTGGATCAAGCTCTTCAGTGAGATTTTCTATCAGGACGGGTGTCCCGAACTAAGAAAATAAAAAAGACATTTTAAAGGTGAGAGGAAAACAAAATGCAATCAGCCCAGGTAAATAAACAAAGAATGGCTGAATTAGTTCAGGGAAATGCTGTCAACTGTAATGTGATGCGGTTTGGATGATACAGCCAAGACACCTTGGGAATCTGAGTGACAGATCGGTTAACCTGATAAGAAATTGCAGAGCTTCACATTATGTATTTACTTTATTCGATTCCTGTAACGTAACTTTTCTGTTTGGTATTCCAGCTGACTCTTGGGCAGAAAAAAAAAGAAGAAATTTCTCTATATTAAAATAGGTGATATAACCATGACTTGAATATCTTCAGAGAGCTGCTATCTGTCAAAATGCTTAATATGAGAGATTTGTCAGCTGTTTGCTTTATCGATTCCCCTTGAACAGAGCATTGCTGGTGGCCTTTGCTTTATTCCTGTAGAGGTCGTTTGGTTTTAAAGTACCAATATAAACTCTTGCTGTGGGAGTAATGTTAATGAGCGGAAGGTCAGCACAATCCGATGAAAGAGCTGCAATAATGCAATAACAACAGATGGAATAAAAAAAAAGATAAATACAATTAGAATTTAGCAATGTTTTTTTTTCTAACAGAAAATAACAGATGAACCTATTACCCTTTCTAAAATGGTAAAAGTTGTGTAGGCAATGCAGAAAAATATTTTTATATTTGAACTTTTCTGGCACTAGGAAAAAATAAAAAGCAGAATTGCTAAAAAGCACACACCAGAAGCTCTGAAGGCACAGATAGAAACGATTAGCATCAAACTGATTGTCCCCCGTGGGTGGGATAGAAAAATGTGATGTCACCTTATAACTGGCCAACAATGTGGGCCACAGCAGATTCCCCAATAAGTGCTTTTAAACTGCCCTTTTGTCTGTTATGGTTTAATCTTTAATCCAATGGCCATCTACTATATTTAAAGTGGGACTCCAACCAATTTTGTTCTTTATATTTGGATAGAGTAGAGAAGTCTCAGGTCCTCAGTTTTTGATTGTTGTCCTTGTTTTATTGGGAAAGGAAGTGAGAAGGATCTCTCCAGAAGGGATTTGTACAGCAATACAAACCTTTTATTAGAAGAATAGAGAAGGGATAGATAGGGATAGGGCTCTGTCAGGTTTTTAAGTATTATGTTTTTGTTAGATTACCTTGCATCCAGGGAAATCTCCCTAATGGAGACAAGGACATTAATAAATACCAGGTTTCTACCCCTCCCCCTTCCTCCATTCAAAACTTTGACTAAGGTGACAAAAACATACCCTACATTTATATAATGTTATGTTTTCTTCAGGCTGTGATATGAATGTCTTAAGAAGGTGGATATGGAAGTAGTTCTACTTGGTAGGAAGCACTCTCCCCTACTCCTCTTATTAGATGATGTTTGAATCAATGTAACCTACTTTAAGCAGAAGGTATTTACATGAAACATTTACTTCACTTAGTTCAAACAGGACAAACCCATTGCATTTGAAAAAAACGTGTGTTACTAAATGTAAATGTTTAAAATGATGTGTTATTTTAACTAATGTCTCTATTTTCATCTACAAACTTCCCATTGCTATTTTGCCACAGTGTGTACAATACACAATGCAAAAAAATCTTCCTCCAATCAAACGCAAGGGCAACGGTTTCTGCATTGTCATTTTGGGGAGGCAGTCATTGAAGTAACCCCTTTTTTAGGCCTGGTATGTGATCGGTTGATGGAGTTACCCCATCCTTGGGTATAGCATTCCCCATACCTTGGGATACTTAAAGAGACTCCCGCAGAGAAGAACTGTTAGCTGACAAGATGAATCAACCAGAACTGAGTAACATCGCTGTTGTTAAAGTGAGTTTCTGATCTGGTGACCAGTATGCTATGTTCTGCATATAAGAAGTAAAAATTCCGCAACCAAAAGTGAAGTGTGTCTTTTATTTCCAGTGGTGCTAGCAAATAATCTGTGCTATGGCGAATTAACTGAATGCTGAGTGTGGGATGCAAGTTAGGCCAGACGCAAGGTGTACATCAGACATACAAAAGTGGCTACATTGAGAGAAGTCAGTATACCTTTTAGCTCTAGTGCCCATGTTAAAATGTAAATGTAGTTGACTTCAGAAGGATGATGTGTAAAGCATCCATAGATGATCAGCTCCAGGGGCTTTAATGTGGAAGTCTCCCACTCTCCAGGAAAGGTGTCATTGAGCTGTGTTCTTTTGACTGACAAAAATCTCTGAACCATAAAAAAGTACTGGTTTCAACAGTGCACCTATGGATTAATTTGAACTCTGAATAGACTATTAAAGAAGGTAACAGAACTTGACATGGAATAACCTTTAAGCTGGTCAAAGGGATTGACAGAGGTGGTGTTTCCCCCATAGGAGTTTGTACCATCACTGCTTCATTTTCTTGAGACCTTACAACACCACTGCTTCATGCAAGTGTTTTTAAACTGCTATTTTGAATTTGCTATAAAGGTGTACATAACACCTTAATAAATTCAGATTATGAACAGTTTCAACAGATATGACTAAATGAATAAATAATAATACTGTAAATAATATACTGTTATTAATATAATGTATTAAAGTACCTAAAGTACATTTATCGAAAAGTTGAATACCATTACATCCCTAATTCCAAAGCACAAACTATATTTACTTTCAGTCATGTATTACTCTGTAGTTGGCAAACATGTTGACATACAGCTGGGATCTTAGCAAAAACATCCAACTGTTAAAATTAAGCCACTAATCTACAATGGATGGGTTGCATTTTTAGTGTAAAACTGTTAACAAAACACCCACGAGGCTAAGTTTCACCTGTTTTGCTTCTTGGTGAAGTGAAACGGACTTGAAAGGAAAATAAAAACTGTGTCAGTCTCACTCTGTGCCAACTGACCCCATGGGATGAAACAGACAGATTTCCTGCTCTTGAGGGTCTTTCTTGAGATTTTTGTATTTCTAAAAACCTCAAGGCAGTCTTGCTCAACCATGTAGAAATAACAATCCTACCTACATAAAGGAGACTGCACAATGAGCAGGCTTTCACTTTAGACCAGTCTATGTGAATAGTCCTCAGTTTCTTTTTTTAACTTTAGACTTCATTGTACTTAAAAATACAATACAACATGGTCATGATGATGATGAAAAAAATGTGGTGAAAAATAACTGACTTTTATATACGAGACCTCAAACACAGAACAGTTTTCTAATAATAACTATGGTTAATTGTTTTTTAAATATTGATATTATTAAATAATTGATTCAAATAACTCCCTAGCTGACATTATAAAATATTTAACCAAAAATACATATTTTAACATGCAAAATATGTCAATTAGGAGATTAATCTAAGTGGGATATATGGGTTTCTCTTGCTCATGTCTTTGCTGTCATTTTCATACCTACTGTATATCAAGTCAAAGAGTGCACACCAACCTTATTCAACAAATGCATTGTGCACCAGCCTGTTGGTACTTCTTGCACTATAATGACACATCATACTTCAGCAAAGTATGTATTTTATATATAGAGCTCGAAGACAAATTTGTATTAAAATAAATGCCCTGTAGAGTAAAATACATTTCCTAAACACATCTCATCCGCTGATTGAGGATTTCACATTTTAATGGATTGTTAAGGTTGTGGGATCCATGTGTGGCTGTATGCTTTTTTTTTAAATTATTTGATATAAATAGGGCTGTTTTTGGCTCTACATTGTGTAAGCATATGTTATCTGCACATGGTATAGCATACGGTACACAGTTTGGTGACTGAATTGTCTGTGTTCTTACACCTAATTTTTTGTATCAAGCTTTCAGTGGCAAAACTACAGATCATAGGACTCCATAGCAAAATTTTGGTAGTCCCCCACTTTTCTGCAGCCCATGGCAGTGACAATTCTGACATTATTATCATTGATCCTAACAAAGTATGTCTAAATCAAACACAGGTAGCAGGAGAGCTGTCAGTCTAGTCAAAACACTACTAGGGACTAGTGCTGTAGTTTTGTGTCATCAGAAAATGCAGTACAAGAAATTACTTCTAACCCTCATTTTTCAGCTAACTACTCGGTCTTCAGTAGGTCATTTTTTTAACATACCAGATCTCCATGCCTTAGTGTACATTTTAAGACTTCCTCCATTCTACCACCACAGAAAGGAAGTGATGAAATAGGTGGTCCAGTAGTCCGTTAAAAAACATTCTAGTAGTAATAATATTAACCATGAGGATATTTTATATGATTACATAATTGTTATAATACAACTACAATCTTTAAACAGTAGCTTTTTTTGCAGGAATGGCATTTTTCTTTTTTTAAAATAACTATTACTTAGTTCAAGGTATAAGTGTTTATAACACATTGACACTCAGGCTCCATTCACATATAGCGACGGCGCGGCATGCAAGCACTAAATTCTTTCACCTGCACAGATTCCGCTCGTTTGCGGTTATTGGATTATTTTGTGGGCCACACGGTTTCATACCACACGGCAGCCACAAAAGTCTGAATAATGCACATTAAAGTGTATTGTTTTTTATGTTTAGAGCGGCACCTCACGTATTTGTACGGCCGAATACGCCTGGACAACCGCTCTTGTGTAAATGGAGCCTAAAAGGGTCTCATCTTCAAATGGATATCAGGCTAGAGCTATAACATCATAAAAAATATGAGGAGGCCTGCTAGGACAAGGCTGAGAGACATGTTACCCACTCCATCTCACATTGATGTTATGTGACCAAACCCAGTGGAATTATACTGGTTAGCAATTCACTCCATGTTATACTTAACTGTTTCAGGCATAAATGTATAATGACTACAGTAAAATTTTCGGTTTAATTAAAACAGGGTTAGCTGAGGTTGAGCAGCACACAGGGGCTAGTGATTGCCTGTTGCCTGCATCCACATAACAAATACTAAAATTAACAAAATTTAAGAATCTGAAGAAAATTACAGTCATATATAAAAGTGTTTAAAAAAATCCATATATATCAGAGTTTAAAACAAACCATCATGTCTATACATTGTCAATGCTTAGCAAAAAAAGTATAGACTTTTAGTACTTGTACATGTTTCATTGGCACTTAAGTTTAGTATTCTAATGTTTTATGAAGAAACAACCCTTCAAAAAATGAAATAAAAAAAAAAACACCATCTATACACATTATATATTGTTCTGAATGGGTAGAAAAATAAAAAGCACTTCCATTAAAGTTAGATATTAAAAATGATTACATCCATTATGTGTCATTTTGTTTTGCCCTGTGTTAAATTTCTATTATAAAAGGTAATAATATAGTAAATATAATTAATTAAAATAGATATTTAAAGAATACTTAATATACGAAAGTGCAAAGCAGCAAGGCAGAAACTGATTTCATTTCCAGACACGACAAACAGGCCAGCACTCATATAGCCAATTGTTCATAACATTTTCAGAATTATCTGAATAGGCAGAAAGCCATGAGATGAGTAGCGAACAGGTGCCTTGGGGTCATAAATCATAATAAAGAGCTTGACAAGATGACAGAGACTAACAAGGTAATTATAACTTAAACACTGTAACGTGTAAAGCATTAACCACACTTTCTCTATGCTCTTCAGTTTTCAGCACTTTAATTTCTACACAAATATTCAGGCTTTTAAGCAAGCAAAATGCATTCACATTTTTAGTACCTGTATACTGTTACCAACTGCCCGAAGATAGTCTGTGTCTGTTGCTTTACAGATTTGAATTTTATTGATTTTTTCCATGTTTTTAATCCATTTGTTTGCCTGGCCTTGAGGGTCAATCATAAGAGGCCATTGTTGAGCTGACGTCACAATAATGGCATTTTCTAAGGAAAAACTGTGGCAGATGTTAGTTTATGTATGTTACTATTTTTCATACTTATCCCATCTTTACCCACAATTTGTTGTAAAGCAGAATAGCTGACATACCTATCTTTTGGCAGCCCATGAAATTGCCATTCCATTATTTTCACAGGATCTCCTAAGGTGCTTGAGAGTGCAAATCCATCAGAGATGGGAATGTGTTTGTCTCTACACATATTGAACCATTTTCTTAATATTTCCTTAAGGCAAAAAATAAATGAATATTATTTAGTGACAGCAAAACATGATTTTGATGAATATTAATTTGATTTGAGTTTTTTCCAGTATTTCTGCCTGCATGTACTTTTTTAGACGTCTTGTCTACACAAATTGCTTTGCATGATTAATGAATGGACACAAGTTAACTTCCTCCTGATACTTCATTATTCCTCAAGACTCTATAAATTTGTAGATGTAACTGTATATCTTATTGGCCTGTCTGCATTTGTCCATTTGGTCTTCTTGGTCAATTTACATTCTCTCACCTTGAGGAGAGACCTTTAAAGCTGCTCCAATTACTGAACTCCTACTCTTTAAACTTTCAGTAGTCAGGCAAGAAGTCTCAGTTTAAAATATACCAACTTCCTAATTTTATATATGTGACAAAATATTTGTTGTAATTCATCCCTACTACTTTGATAAATGCTCCCTGGGAAAATGGCACTTCAGAATTCAACAAAAAAAGAAAAATTATTGGGATACAACAGGTGTTTTGATGTGAAGATTAAGGCCTAGCTACATTTGTCTGCATTTCAAAGTTGAAGTTGAATTGGCAAAAGCATTCTTGAAACTAAAATCACGAAATGCAATATGAGCTAGTGGCAATGATTTATGCACATACTGTATATTCTTTTGTAACGATTAAGAGTTTAATAGCCATAAGGGCCAAGTTTGAGATACAACTTGGTGGAGAATTATGAATATTTGATTGCCCAAAAGTAATTGGAGTCATTTTATATTTGAGGAAATGATGAGTAAGCTCCCTATAGCCCTCCTACCCTCCCATTGCCTTTCTAAGCTATTCCTCAGCCACCCAGGCTATAAATACTTTGTAACAGCACATAATCATCTATGTATTCCTGAGATCTCCCAAACCTTCTCATAAATGACTTTCTTCTCTTTACTCTTGACTTCCATTGACAAACAAACTGGCAATGCTAGTTGCCAGTGAATTACTACCACATACGTTTTTTTGTTTTTGTGGCTCAGGGTGATTTTTCTCTTGTCACTGACGGGCTACACTACTCATATTCATTTTTGTAACTTGCTGCTATACATGGATACATTTTAACCATGTTGCATCTTTACAGATGAGGTAGAATATTAGATATAATTCCTGCCAATGACTGCCCACATTTTTACTTGTAACTTGTTTTTGTTGGTGAACAAACAGCACCAAACTTTCCATGCCACTGAGAAGTTGCAGTACAATTAAACTCTCAAAAAAATTGTAATTTGGAGACATTGTAAGTAAAAGAAGATCATATTCTTATTTTACTAAAACACATGCACAGAGTTAAAGCTTATCTAAATGTTAAACTAAAAATGTAATATATTGCAGCATACCAGTTCCAAGATTTAGTGGCAGCATTAATTTGGATTTTCGAGGTCTTTTTTCTTTATTTTCAACTGATAATCCTGTGAATAACAGACACCCTGTCCTAGGGTAGTTACACTCACTCACTTTACTGAATCAGAATCAGAAATCAGTCTGATTGTTACCCAGTCTGATTTTCTAATCTAGACTACAAACATATCTTCTTTGCAATAGCTTGGAAGGAGGATACTTTTTTTGTGCTTTCAGTTTAGCTTACTGAAGGTGACAAGTACACCGCATTTCTGTATTTTATGCTTAAAATATTTCTAGCCTGAAAAAATGTCAACTATTGCAGCCACTATACATAACTCATTAAGGACCAAGGGGTTTAATTTTTTCCTTACATGTTATAATCCCTATTTTTGACCTGAAAATTACTTAAAACCCACAAACATTATATATTTTCTGAAAGCCAAAACTTTGTAGAATAAAATGGTGACAGCTGCAGATTTTTATGTTGCACAACATTAGCGCAACTCATTACCAAACCCAAACATTTAGTGGGAAATGCGCCTAAATTGAATTGAGTCTAACCCTAACCCCAAAACACTATATAAAACCCTTTTTTTGATAATATATAAAAGATGATGTTACAGCGAGTAAATAGATACCCAACATGCCCAGGTTAAAAATTGTGTGCGCCCGTGAAACTGCAAAATAATTTAGTAACCCAAAAAGTCCATAGATGGCGCTTTAAAAGCCCCTACAGGTCATCAGTATGTAAATGTAAATATTGACCCTAGAATTATTGTTCTCACTCTGGCGAGCATGGTGATACCCAACATGTGCAGCGCGATCGTCGTTTTCGTACGTAGGTGCACCCAACGCGTGTTTACATGAAGACGCGCGGGGCGGGGGACTTTAAAAAAAATGTTTTAATTTATTTAACATTTACTTTATTTAATATTATTTTTAAAACTGTTTTTTTTTAACTTTACTTTAATTGCTATCACATAGGGGGCCTTACAAGCCCCCCTTGATAGCATATTGGCAGTGACAGGTCCTCTTTAAGGTGATACTGGGGGTCTAAAAGACCCCTAGTATCACCTTTCCACTTTAAATAAGCTATTGAAGTGCAGGTCACACATCAATAGCTTATTGCTTAGCTTCAGGAGCCAAGCAATGAAAGCTCTGGGATCGGAAGTGATGTAATCCTCATCACTCTTGGTCCCATAGACAGGGGAGCAGATCGGTGAATGGAAGTTCACTGATCTCCTTCCCAGCTTCCCACCGGCACCAGACATGTTAGTCCCGGGCCCGCAGGAGGGGCAGCAGAGCCCGGGAAACACGTTAGGGGGTGTCGGGCAGGGGGGGCCACTTTACCGGCCTGTAAAAGCGATCTGGGGATAGCTGAGCCACAAGAATCGCTTCTACTGTAAAGCCGACAACCGGCTCCACAAATATGAACAGAGTCTGTTTAATCCCTTAAAGACCCGTGGCAGAATTATTCCGTTATGGGTCAGGAAGGGGTTAAAGATTGGTAAGCTGAGATATATTACATTTTTAAAATTGGGTATAGATATCCTTTAGGGCCCATTTACACCATAACGTTTCAGTAAAGGCATGGTTTCTGTACATTTAGCACGATGCAATGCAGCTCATACTACATGCACAGAAACCATGCCTTTAGCGCAATGCTATGGTGTGACTTGGCCCTTAGGCTTTAAATATATTTCTACATCTTTAGAGGTTGGAAAAACATTGAGGGAGTGCTGCTGAGGGCAAGAATCCCAGTAGAAGTAGAGGCGAGGCACTGGACCCAATGCTTTGTTTTGTGAATCCTTTATCAGGTCTTTAACAACTGTTTTATAGGGGTTGATTTACTAAAGGCAAAAAGGCTGTTCACCTTGCAAGGGAATTTGCACTTTGCAAGATAATTTTCCCATAGCTTAGTAAATGAGGAGAAGCTCTTCTGTCCTCCATCATACAATTATGTGCAAGTAAAAATACAGGTTTTTTAAAAAAAATTCCTTTCTTGTGATTGGGGGTTCTTTGCAAAGTAAATTTTCACAACATTCACCAAGCTAAGGGAGGATCAATATTATGGTCTCTTAGACTGAAAACTAGGAGACTGGATAAATAAGCCAGAGCTATGGCATTGTGATGCCACATGGCTGTTTAACACAGACATCCACTGACTATACATTGTAATTCCCTGACTCTGACTGATTTATCCAGGCTCCTAGCATTAAGTCTAAGAGATTATGAAAAGTTGTTATAGCCCCGATGAAGGGGGATTGTTTAAGCCCCCAAAATGCATTGGCTGTCTTTTGTTACCCTTTTGACACCTGTGGTAATAAATAAAATACAGTTCTGGTCCCTTGTTATGTATGTTTGGTGCTCATTCTGGTTTGAATACGCTGAAAGGTGACAGCAGGCATCACTGCTGCAGAATGTGCCTGCAAATTACGTAGCCAGAAAACTTTTGTATGTATCACCATAATATGCGTTTTTGTAGAATTTAAGTCAACATAGCCATCAAGTTATATAAATATAATTATTATGACATGTTTATCTGAATATAACAGCTGTAATGTTAAAGGGAACCTGAACTCTGGCACCTAAGCCCAAAAAAGGTGAGCAGAGGGAAATGACTAGTCACAAGTATTGCATATATGTTCTTTCCAACTGGGTCTTTTCCCTATTACTGAGGTCACCCTCTTGGTAGAGTCAGGGCATTTCATCTTCATGTCAGAGCTGCCTCCTTAATAACTGTTTATCTGATGACTGGTGTGGGCCTATTATTAATGTAAAAGGAGAGGTGCAAAATGCTCAGTTCCACAGAATGAGTGAAAAGAAAGCAGAAATTCCCTTGCACTGTGGGTCCTCTGGTAGAGTATTCACTCCAGTAAGGAGTACACTGGAAAGCATAGTAATGAGATTTGTGCCTCTGACTAGCAGTCAGAGGCACAGTGCCTTATATGATAATCTCACACTGCAGATATACAACTATGAGACTTGTAGGCATGAGAGTGCCTAGGGACAGGGAGTCCACTGCTAATTTCAGAAGGAACTGAAGACACAGGCAAATCTTTAAGAATACTTCTAAGGCACAATTAACATTTCTAGATGTTTCCTGTTAAATAGCAAATCCCCTTTTTTTAATTCAGGTCGACTTTAATTGGTGAAATATGTTATTCTGTGTATTCTTAAATAATATTTGCAGTATTATGCAGTAAAATGACAATGCATCTACAAATAATGCTTGGAAGAAGTTATTTTGTATTTAGAAGATTTAAAGTTACACAAAAGTGAAGCCTAAACAAATTAAGTACAAATCACTTAAACTACAACACCCACTTGAAATGTTCTTAAACCAATGTCCATATATAATCACACTGTAATTCTTTTTCCATCTTTAAACTGTGTGCCTAGTGTTTACTGCCAGCTCATTTCCTGCTTGATAAAGCATGATGATTTTGTTTTTTATCAAAGCCTTCCAGATAGAACAGCTACTGCTACAATATGAAAAATTGATCAAATGTGCTGATGCAAAGGAAACAAACTAGCATCCTTAAAACATAATACAATATTATTTACCATGAAAATTAGAAAATGCTATCTCTAATGAAAATAGATGTATTGACAAGAGTGATGCCCTTAACAGTGAATGAGCTCTTTTTTGTTTTTTAAACCATTCATATGAAATGTATAGTAATGTCTAACTGGTTAATATAGACAAAACCTCCATAATTTTATACATTGATATTCTTATATGGGCTATAGATAAATAAATAGATGACTTGATGTTTAGATTATTTACTGAAAAATCAATAATGATGTCAAAACCACATAACACATTTAATGTCTTTTCAATTTCCTATGGACAGATATCTAGCTGATGTTCTGAGATCTGACAATGGGGGTTCAATATAATAGGGCTCATTAAAATAAGAAAAACTGTTGAAAAGAGCGATAACAATATTAAAGTTACTTGTTAGCAGTAAATTTATTGTCAGTGTAAAAGCAGCTATAAAACAATTGGTTGCTATGGGCAACACATCCACTCCCTTTTAAAAAATATATATTGGCTGTGAAATACTACTCATTAAATACAGTTGTTAAATATTTTTTTGGGGGAAAATAAAGTCTATCCAATATAGACAAGCAGCTCTTAATACTACATACTGTACCTGTCTAAATTCTGAAGTAAATGGACCTAAATAGGCCACAATACCAGCACTTAGCAACATATCTCCAACAATGTTCTGGTACGTGTCTCCCAGTTGTGTGACTATGCTCCTCCACCGTTGTTTTTCTCCACCAAGTCCATTAATTAGCTTTTCTGCTCGGTCCAGCTTCAACCTTAAATAATTAACAAATACGTTGTGAAAATGACTCTTACTGCATTATGAACACTTCTCTAACAGCATGGGTATTTTCTTCTTAATCGCACTGCCATACAAAGGTTGCTATCCAGCTGGTATTTTTGTACAAGAGCCAGTTGACAGGATAATTTACTGGAAATGATTAGGTTAGTATTTTCAGATTCAGCAAGTAATGTACATGTAGTTTAATTTATAGTCCATCAGGCACAATGAAATGTTTATAGTTATCCCACGATAGTTTAAAAAAATGTAACACTATTTAAACTATCTAGATAGATAGATAGATGGATAGATAGATAGATATAAATAATGCCTATAGAAAAGGATGGTCCTTCCTTTAAAATAAATCTGCCACATTGCTAAACTCACTGCAAGTTTCCCATGTCTTTTTTTTCGTAACAAAGTATTTTATTGGATTTTCATAAATAAATGAGACATCACATATAGAGTTCGGTACAGTTGGCTTTCAAAGATCAAACTTAATATAAAAGTATGAATTGGTTACAATTACTATTATAGAGAGAGAGGGGGGGGTGGTGGAGAAAGAGTGGGAAGAGTGTGGATTGGGTATTAGGTCCATCGGTGGGATAAATTACTGGTTGTATTGAGAGATCAATTCAGTAAGTCCGCTGTCTGCTGACGACTAGAGGGTGCATTCCCTACGTCACACGGGTGGTCTCTTAGAGATGTCTAAGGGTTTCTCCACCTAGTTCAGGATGGTGGTATAACACCCAAGGTTCCCAGACCTTTAAAAACTTGGCATGAGTATCTTTCAGAATACTGGACAATCTTTCATTGATCATAATATTGTCCAATCTCAAGGTAAACTCGTGATGCGGAAGAATTTGTTTTTTCCAGTTGCTTGCTAGAGTCAATTTGGCTGCCAAGAAGGCCTGGTGCGCTAGGGATCTTTGGGAGGTGGTTAGACCAGGTATTGTGGCATGCAACAGGGCCTGTGTGGGATACTTAGGAATATGAGTATTAAACAGGCGGGATAGAAAGCAATAAATTCTAGTCCAGAATTGTGAGGCGAACGGACAGGTCCACCAAATGTGGAGCATGTCACCAGGGAGTGTGCACCCGCGAAAGCAGACAGGCGACGAGGTTGGAAATATTTTGGCTAGATGGGTAGGGACCAGGTACCAGCGAAACATAGGCCACCTCCATATTGGTGACATTAAGGGAGCATCGAGAGATGTTTCCCCATACCCTGTCCCATTCCCTCTCAGTCCAATTAAGATTGAGATCAGTGGTCCATTTAGCAGGGTAAGAGTGCAGGTTAAGGCGTTTCAGGGAGTTGAGTTTGGAGTATAAGAGGGACACCAACCTGGGTCCACCAGGTGAGTGGAGGCATGTATTTTCGAAGTAAGTAAGGGGTCTATTTGGGGTTTGCCGTTCTGGTAGGGAAGATACCCAGTGTCGTATTTGTAGGTATCGGAATAACTCCGCATCTGGGATCTGTTTGTGCTCTTTAAGATATGATCAGGTGGGGACAGCGGTACTTTGAAATAAATCATAAATTTTATTAAACCCATTGTTGCTCCACCATTTAAATTGCTCCAGGTTAGTATATGCAGGGAGGAATAAAGGCTGGGAGAGAATGCGAAGAAGGGGCATGTAAGGAGACATTAGTTATGTGGAGTATTTCAGGGAATCCCACACTTTTAAGGCTTGTCTCATAAGAGCGCTAAGGTTAGGGGGTCTCCGATTAGGGGCGTAGTCACGGGAGGGCTGAAAGTGGTTCTGGGTTCTGAAAGCATTCTGGGATTTCCAGCATTGTCCATAAGGGGACATTAGTCTCCCGATGTATAGTGACTAGCGGTAATAGTTGAGAAGCTTGATAATAAAGTAATATATTGGGTAAACCTATACCTCTGTCTTTTTTATGCTTGTATAATGTGGACTTAGGGACCCTAGGTCGCAGGGGATGCCAGATGAATGTCAAAATCTGTTTCTGTAGGGATCGTAATGCAAAGGGCGATATAGCAATTGGTAGGACTCTGAAGTAATACAACAGCTTAGGGAGGATAGACATCTTAACTGCCGCCACTCTCCCGAACCAAGATAGTTTATGGCGTTCCCAGCTAGTCATTAAAGATTTAAGGTTTTGGAATAGAGATATATAATTAGATGTATATTGAGTGGCATAGGAGGGAGTGATGTTTACACCAAGGTATTTCAGAGACTGTTGTGCCCGAGAGAATGCAAAGTTCTCACGAAGCTGGTCGTATACTGATTGAGTGAGGGAGATATTCAGGGCTGCACACTTTTTCCAGTTCACCACCTGTCAGGGTACCATGTGAGGCGTCCTCACACCGCATGCAGGTACCCACGCAGGATGACCAAATTAATATGCCCACACTGGATAGGGTTATATGCACACAGTTTATGTGTACACAGCAAACAAAACTACAAACCCCATCAACCCCCCACAGGTTTAGCAGTGAAATAACAAAAACCACGGTAGGAACAAACACACCTACAGCCAGGGGGAACAGCAACAAGGAGGGGTAACAGGACTGCAGATAGACAGCAGGCCTCAGGATACATGATACAGGAAGAGTAACAGGAGGGCAGCGCAGTGCAGGAACAGGATCCAAGAAGAGTGGTCAGGTAACAAGGTCAGTGACAGGTTTGCAGATAGGTAGCAGGGTTCAGGTAACAGGGTTCAGGTTCCAAGGCTCAGGACATGGGAGTCAGTCAGGTGCCTGCAACGCAATACTGAGCCAGCTTCCTGACTGCAGGGAGGGCCTAAATACCCTCCCAGGAAGTACCACGTGATGGAATGATCACTCACAGCTGGGGCACACCCGCAGGTGTGTACTGGAGCCTGGTGGTCTGGTTCCTGACAGTTCCTGGCTGCTGGAGATACCCGCAGGCGAGCACAGGAACTGCAGGACCTGGCTCCAGCGCCACCTGGGGGTGCTCTGGATCCTGACACCACCAAGCCCGAAACCCCTGAGAATAGTTCCAAAATGTGTAGCAGGTTGGGGATAGAGGTGTGAGGCCGGGTGATAGTTAGCATGACATCGTCAGCAAATAGGCTAGTTTTATATTCTACCCCTGCAACCTCTACTCCCTTCACATTAGGATTGATCCGGATTAAGTGTATCAAGGGCTCAATGGCTAGCGCGAACCGAGAGAATGCAAAGTTCTCACGAAGCTGGTCGTATACTGATTGAGTGAGGGAGATATTCAGGGCTGCACACTTTTTCCAGTTCACCACCTGTCAGGGTACCATGTGAGGCGTCCTCACACCGCATGCAGGTACCCACGCAGGATGACCAAATTAATATGCCCACACTGGATAGGGTTATATGCACACAGTTTATGTGTACACAGCAAACAAAACTACAAACCCCATCAACCCCCCACAGGTTTAGCAGTGAAATAACAAAAACCACGGTAGGAACAAACACACCTACAGCCAGGGGGAACAGCAACAAGGAGGGGTAACAGGACTGCAGATAGACAGCAGGCCTCAGGATACATGATACAGGAAGAGTAACAGGAGGGCAGCGCAGTGCAGGAACAGGATCCAAGAAGAGTGGTCAGGTAACAAGGTCAGTGACAGGTTTGCAGATAGGTAGCAGGGTTCAGGTAACAGGGTTCAGGTTCCAAGGCTCAGGACATGGGAGTCAGTCAGGTGCCTGCAACGCAATACTGAGCCAGCTTCCTGACTGCAGGGAGGGCCTAAATACCCTCCCAGGAAGTACCACGTGATGGAATGATCACTCACAGCTGGGGCACACCCGCAGGTGTGTACTGGAGCCTGGTGGTCTGGTTCCTGACAGTTCCTGGCTGCTGGAGATACCCGCAGGCGAGCACAGGAACTGCAGGACCTGGCTCCAGCGCCACCTGGGGGTGCTCTGGATCCTGACACCACCAAGCCCGAAACCCCTGAGAATAGTTCCAAAATGTGTAGCAGGTTGGGGATAGAGGTGTGAGGCCGGGTGATAGTTAGCATGACATCGTCAGCAAATAGGCTAGTTTTATATTCTACCCCTGCAACCTCTACTCCCTTCACATTAGGATTGATCCGGATTAAGTGTATCAAGGGCTCAATGGCTAGCGCGAAAAGGACCGGTGATAGTGGGCAACCTTGACGAGTGCCCCTCTCAATGGTAATGGGGTCAGAAACTCGACCCAAATACTTCATACGGGCAGTGGGTCCAGTATAATGAGTTTGTAACCAGGTTAAGAACGATCCCTGGAATCCCCACCTAAATAGTATGTAGCGTAGGTAATCCCAGGAGATCGAGTCGAATGCCCGCTGAATATCTAGGGACAGTAAAAGGCCTGGTATATTCCTAGTTTTGAGTACTTATATGAAGTGGATGATTTTCCTAATGTTGTCGCCCGCTTGCCTGGAAGGGATAAATCCCACCTGGTCCCTATGGATTATTGTGGGTAGGAGCTCGTTAAATCGGTTGGTCAATATTTTCGTGAGTATTTTAATGTCCACGTTTAAGAGATCCTATGTCTTTTTTATATTCTAATGTACAGTGAAAGGATCACTTTTGTTTCCTATGAAAAAGGAGATGATCATTTATCTGTAAAGTTGGTCAAATAAGTGATACATGAATTTATCCTTTCTCTTGTTTTTGTCTGCATTTTATTTAAAAAACATTTTTTTTGTTTGCCCCCAAAACATGCCAGTGTTGCACACAAATTATAGAAGCTGTTAACCTCAAAGTAAGGGCCTGTGTTGAAGGGCTTCTGTTGCCTTCAAACAAGTTTTGCATTACCATACAAGTCTATGGGTATAGAAAACTCACTTGAAGCAGGTCATACACAGGTCAGAAGGAGGTCAACTAGAGGCCAAATGCACCTGTACATTTGTTCTGAATGATTTCAGAAGCATCTCAAAATTATGTCAAACTGATGCAATTGACACAAGCCCAAAAGATTAATTGACACGGGCCCTTAGAAGGGTAAAAGCATACAGGTCCCTTAGCTATCTTGATACCATTTTGT